TTTTTTAAAAAATAAAGCACTGTAATCAAGAGAAGCATGTGCCCTGGAAAGCCTAAACAATCAATATTTTGATATTTTAGATTCTAAAAACGTGCAAGCTTCTGAAAGAGAGCAGTTAAAAGCAAGCTCAGAATCACTGATAATTACTGATGGGTGAGAAAATAAAATCACATCAGTGTCTCAGCTTTTACCACAATAGTGCCACATAACTCAGAGGCATGCAGTGGCAAGCATTGATTCTCACGTTCTCAGAGCTGCATGTCGTCTGAATGGCTTTGTTCCACGTCTCATTCTCGGGTCTGGACTGGGAGCTTTGGAAAGGCTGATGCCCTGATACCACCTGGAGAAGCTGATCTAATTAACGGGCCTCAAAGGCAGCCTGGCCTATGTGGATGATGACTGCTGCTGTGTGTGCTGGGCCTGGCCTGAGGGTGATGCTGAACTACACAGAGGTTCTGTGGCGAGTGGGCTATGCTTTCTTGACAGATACATGTGGGTATCTCCAAATAGCAGAATGCTGGTTGTCAGGGAAACCTAATATTTTAGATTGCTTGAATTTATCATTTCATTCCAAGACATTTCTTGACATTTGTAGACTAGGCTTCTTCCAAGTAACTCATTTCTTACCGAGTTCTTCTAAGCCAGAAAGAAAGTTCTCTAAAATGTCATCGAACCTGTTACACACACACACACACACACACACACACACTTCAGTTTAAGATGATGGCATTTACACAGTATTTATTTACTGTTATATTCTATGAAAGCCCTACTATAAGAACAGGAAAGAAATTTCTTAAATGGACAAAGAGCTAGATAAGCAATGACAAGGGTGAGAGATACCAGTGGATTTCGAGAGGTTGGTCAGCAGAAGGAGCGCTGGTAAGCAACAAAATGCAGAAATGTCTATAGCAGTGTCCCTTTTATCCAATCTGATTTGCTTCTAAAGCTACTCAGAGTGACCACCGTGCCCATGGAAGTTGGGAGTGAGCTGCAGGGCCACAAACAGGGATGCTGAAGGAAAGCTGTGTGAAGAATGGTTAGGCTCCCCAGCCTGGCCGCTGCAGCCAGGGGACACCTACTCCCCATCTCTGCTAGAGACTGGAGTTTCAGAGTCTGGAGAAATTGGTTCCAGAGATGCGTTGCAGGGAACCAGGTGCTGCAAAAAGACAGGAACCAAGTACAGGAACAAAAACTAGGGAGACAAAGTAAAAGTCTGAAAACAGAATAAGTGGAGGGATCCCCTGAACACAACTGGCTTTCAAAAGTGCCAACAACCCCGCCCCCAAAATCTTCACTATCATAATGTCCAAAATTAAGCAAGTAAAACATTGAGGTATAAACCTAAACCTATAAGTCAGTAACAAGGAGGTAAATCCCAGAATCAATAGTTCATGTGGCTGGGAGGGACTATGGCCAGTTGGGACTGGGTGGAAACTTGATGCTTATAATAAATCTTCTGTGACAATCAAAAGTTGTAGAAGTTTAAAATCAGCAAGAAAAATACAAATAATCCCATTAAAAATGGGCAAATGACATGAATAGGCATTTCTCAAAAGAAGATGTAGAAATGGCCAACAAAGTCCAGGGGAGGTGGCTCATGCCTGAAATCCCAGCAGTTTGGAGGCGAAGGCAGGGGGATCACTTGCAGTAAGGAGTTCGAGACCAGCCTGGCCAACGTTGTGAAACCTAGCTCTACCGAAAATGCAAAAATTAGCTGGGCATTACAGCAGGCACCTGTAATCCCAGCTACTGAGGAGGTTGAGGCAAGAGAATTGCTCGAACCCAGGAGGTGGAGGTTGCCGTGAGTTGAGATCGTGCCACTGCACTCCAGCCTGAGCAGCACAGCGAGACTGTCTCAAAAAAAAAAGAAAAAAAAATGTCCAACGAACATGAAAAAATGCTCAACATCAACATCACTGTAATCATCAGGGAAATGCAAATAAAACCATATGAGATACCACCTTACCCCAGCCAGAATGGCCATTGTTAAAAAGTCATAAAACAATAGATGTTGGCATGGATGTGGTGAAAAGTGAATGCTTACACACTGTTGGTGGGAATGGGAATCAGTACAACCTCTATGGGAAACAGTATGGAGTTTTCTCAAAGAACTCAAAGTAAATCTACCATTCAATCCAGCAATTCCACTGCTGGAGACCTACCCAAAGGAAAAGAAATCATTATATCAAAAAGATACCTGTTCTTGTAGGTTTATGATAGCACAATTCACAATAGCAAAGATATGGAACCAACTTAAGTGGCCACCAACAGATGAGTGGATAAAGAAAATGTGGCATATATACACCATGGAATACTACTCAACCCCTAAAAAGAATGAAATAATGTCTTCTGCAGCAACTTGGATGGAGCTGGAGGACATTATTGTAAGTGAAGTAACTAGGAATGAAAAACCAAATACAGTATGTACTCACCTGTAAGTGGGAGCTAAGCTATGGGTACGAAAGGCATACAGAGTGGAAAAATGGGTACGATGTACACTACTCGCATGATGGGTGCACTAAAATCTCAGACTTCACCACTATACAATTCATCCATGTAACCAAAAACCATGTGTACACCTAAAGCTATTGAAATGTTTTACGTTTGGATGTTTTTAAATGTAATTTAAAATTAATGTATTACTTTGATGAAAATTAAACTGTCTCAAGCTAGGCGAGGTGGCACTTACCGGTAGTCTTAATTACTTAGAAGGCTGAGGCAGGAGGATCCCTTCAGCCTAAGAGTTCATCTCCAGCCTGGGCAAAATAGTGAGATCTCATTGTTTAAATAAATAAAACAATTCAAACATAAAATTTAAACACAAATTGAGCTCAACATTATTAAATGAAAGTTCAAAAAATTATGTGGATTATTGTTTTCATTATCATTTGAAAGATTCAATAGAAAAGTTATATAGATGCATTCTTCCTTTCAACTGAAAGTATAAGTCACAAGAAACCTCATTAGTTAACATATTCTGTACATTTAAAATACATTTTCATTTTAAATAAATGTATTTAAAGGTTTAGTATAATCTTTAACCATAATAATAAGTTCTCATGATAAATCCAAGATGCAGTTTTTTTTAAGGAATTATGTAACTCCCTTTTAACTAAGACCCCTGAAATTCCTCTGGAAAGAGAATAAATAGAAATGTAGCAATGAGGAGTGGTATTTTTATTGGAAGAGAGGAGTTAAAGGAATCAAAACAGTATTATGTAGGAGAATGTGGATAATTCACTTGGTACTTTTGCAGGTGTAAATATTTACATCTTTTCAGGTTTGATTGCTGCATTCATACCACAGTGACTGAATAGGGCTGATTTTTCCTTCTCTACCAGACCATTCATCACTGCCTAAAGGAAGAAGCTGCTTTGCCAAATGGATGAATCATTTAAGATATCCGTTTTGTTGTTACTATTTAGCATTCACAAATGATTTGCCCCTCGCCTTTGGGAACACTAGCAATTTCTTCCACATTGTTGACTACGCACACACCCACTCTTTCCGTGGTGAACTGTGGCCTGGTTATTGCAGTTGTGACTCTAGTCCTTGGGTTAGCTCAGAATGGGGGTGAGTTAATCTTCTGGTAGAACAATCTTTGTGAGAAGATCCAGATTTTACAGGAAAATGCTGAGCCGCTCCCTGGGTCTTGGCCCAACAGGGCATCAGGTCTGTGTGCACTATTGCCTCCCAGGCACAAGAGAAATCTTCTTCGGGACTGTGGGAAGTACGCAGTTCATGCATTCTGACAGTTTCTGAACAATATCATTTTAAATTTCCTTCCCTTTTTCCATCTTTTATTTTTATTTAATGTGATGTCACCAATGTAACCTTATGAGATATGGTACAAACAAATAAATTTCTCTTGCCCTAAATTCAAGGACAGCATCATCGATTGCAAAGCTCCATTCTATGGAGATAGAGTCATCATTAGCATTGTATCCTATACGAACAGTCCCTCTGGAGCACAGTTCCACGTACATAAAGTATGGGGGCTGCTAGGCACATGGTGCCTTTGTGTGACAGCTCTGTTAAGAATTTTTGTTCTCATATAATTTTCAACAACCCCATACACTTTGTAAGTCTCTGAATTAAGACTGGAGTTTTATAATATTAAATCTTATCCTCCCTTTATCTCATATGAACTAATGGTAGATACACCTTGCTTAATCTACTAAATATTTAAAAGATATCGTTTTCTAGTCTAATATTTCCAAATTACACATTGCAACGAATTCCATCTCTGCTGAAAAAAGATGACGCAATTCCTAGAATAGAATGGGAACTGGATGACTCTGATTAGTCTTCATTGATCTCTGTGGGCGTGGCTAAATTGATCTACTTCCTTGTATCTCACTTTCTTTGTATGTAAAACGGGGGCCAAAGAGCCAGACCCAAAGCTGTGCTAATAAAAGACTGTTATGGGCAGAATTCTCTGATCTCTTTCTTAATGGGCATAAGCATACATTATTAATATCCAAGGTGGGTTATTGTTTTATTGTCTTGCTGTTGTTTTCCCAGCATGTTGTTGAGGAAAGAAGGGTTTATAATAAGTTTGTGGGTTTTTCAGGTGAGATTCTCCACCTTGCATATTTGTGCTATGTCTATGCATATTGCTGATAGCGATGTGTATGCTAATAATTCAAGCAATTTATCTTCCCTTCTCCCCCTCCACATAGCTGCTAAAATATTTAAGAAATGAGGCTTTTGATGGTATGGCAAAAGCTTGGCATCCTTTCTCTGCCCAGCATAAGTTCTAGAATCTCTGCGTTTATCAGCAGCTTTGCATCATTTTCACAATCAACCAAATTAAAAAGTGGGGTAGGGGTGTTCATTCTTAATTTTGTCCTGTCAAATAATTCTATTTATTCATTGAGTATTCATTAGATCACTTTTCCAATGAAGGTAGTATTTTTAAATAATAATACTGCACAACTGCTAAGGTGACTGAATTGTGAATAACATGTTCTCAGAAAATAGAATGTTCACTTATTACACAGAATGTTTCAGCTTTTATTTTAAACTGAGTTCCTCCACAATGTACTATAGAGTTTCTGCGTTTATCAAGAGAAAACATAAGCATATACATTACGTAACTGTACTAAATTAAGTAAAAGCAAATAGACATTTTTAACTATTCAAAGTGGTAAAACCAAACCATAGAGTTTACACAGAAACTGCAAGAATTCAACACAGTGTTAAAACCTTTGCAATACAATGATGTGAATAAATTCTACTTTTGTCTGGCTTACATGTGTATTTATTCAACCGATTACCCAAGGCATAAAAAGGAAGCCTGAGATGTACAGTCTACATGCTCATATGAAGGGCAACTACCTAGAAATAATGATACAACAGTTTATCCAGTGATCAGAAACCCCAAGAGGAACTGAACTACCGAGTCCTAATTAATCCCACAGGCATACTCAGAAGCCAATCCATGCCTTGCTGGGGATGAATAGCAATGTCAGCCAGTGTATTTTTCCAGCAGTCATCTCCATAGATTCCAAGAAGGCTCGAGGTCAATCTACTGTAGGGATGAAACAGTGGACAGATGGATCACTCAGCTGTCCCCCATCTGAGTCCAGTTACTGAGCTTATTAAGACTGATGAGAATTGAATCCAGACAATCACCCCGGCTGTGTTTGTAGCCAAATGTTCACCTTACTCTTTGTCCATCACCTTAGGTAAATCTAGAAGTTACTCTAAATTTAAAACTTTAATTTTGAAAAGTTACGGAGGATTCATGAGATAATTTTGAGAGTTTTAAGGAAAATCAATAGAATGATTCCTGGAAATTCAAAAGATACTAAAATGAATTCCAAGAAGCCTCTGAAGCCGGCCAGGAGAGAGAGGCCTGAGGTCCACCATTTGAAACTCATTGCAGATGAAAACTTTCTTTTAAACAATTAACTATTATTTGCCACCCAAGACAGAAGGTTTTTTAATGTATATTTTCTAAACTGATGGTTATGAATTATTTCAAGGTTTCTAAAAATTCTGAGAGCTAAGAAAGCAACTCTCATTCACCAAAATCAGAGAGTGGGTTTGCTTCCCCCCATTCCAAGGGGGCGTTTTTTCCCTTCCAAATATTTATTAAAAGCTTTTTTCAACCTAAATAATTGAGAAATTGATTGAAGATGCCAAACTAAGCAAACAAAATCTGCTGCAACACTCACATTTTGTCTCACATATGACATAGTAGGAAACAAACATTTGTAGAAATTTTCATCCTGTTTGGACTTCATCCCAAAGATTAATACCTTTTAAAACACCATAATCAATGACCAGAGTTTGGTTAGGGTTCCGCCCTCATGTCTAAGGCTAAACTGCAGAGGATTGGGCAAACCCAGTGCCAGTCCTCTCTCTTAATCCACTTTGTCTTCCATATGCAGAGATAAAAACGCAGGTAGGATGCTGGCCAGTATCCCTGATGACTCCAGAACCAGTATTTACCCGGTTTACCGGGACTACCTGCCGGATGCTGTCTACAACTAAGGAATAAAGCCCAGGTAATCCACAGCACCCTGTGAAAAGTCCAGCAGAAAAAACCTGAAGCCATCGGTCATCTCTGCTTCCTGCTGTCCCTAAGGCGGGGCCCAGGAAGCACAGAGGAGAAAGGGAACACAAGAGAATAGATAGCATTTCTTTTTATCTTATTTGATCTTCATGGCAACTCGTGAGATTAAGACATGTACATTATTTATAAAGTTTTCAGTTCTGAAAAACAGTACACACATGAACAGTTACAACAAACTAGTCTAAGTCAGACAAGAGACGAGGCCAATTGGGGGAATGGGGCGTGGGGCTTGGCGTCCTCTAGAAGCAGCGATGACCAGTGCGCCGCAGTGCTGTGAAGCGCGCTCAGCCCGAGCGCTCCACCACAAAGCCCTGCGGTCCTCGGACGCTAAGCGCCCGGCCGCTGGCTCCTACGGGGGACGCCGGAACCGCGCGCCCGGGCTACTCCAGGTTCCTTGCTCAGGAAGTCTGAGACATTTTCAGGGGAGATTACGGATAGGAAAGAGAAAAGACAAAGAAAAGAAGGAGTTGGGGCACACAGGAAGAAGGATCACTATTCGTATCATATTCTAGGCAGTCACAGCCAAGCGCCACCCTCCTTCCCCGAATCTCATGCCTCCGCAAAGGCGCGCACACCACACTACACAGGGGTGTACACGCACCCCGATGGGGCACCCCGAGTTGGTGTGTTTTCCCGAGTTGAAGAGACGCTGGCGGCCTCGGCAGCCGTCCCCGCGCGCGGCGCCAGGCCAAGTGCGTCTCACAGGGTGGGCGCCAAACGCTCGTGCCCAACCCTCTTCCCAGAGCGCGCGGAGGACAAGGTGACCCGCCCCGGCTGTGCGCCAGCTACAGCAGGGGCCACGCGGAGCCGACGCCTAACGGCGCCCGCAGCGTCCTCGGGCCTCCCTTCGAAGGCGCAGAGAGCTCCTACTCCAGCCAGGTTCCAGACGACCAGGGCTCGGGGTAGGGGAGCAGGGAGCAGGGAGCACGGCAGGGAGGGGGCGGTTCCCAGCAACACCCGCCTCCTCCTCTGCCCTCCTCTACCTCTACCTCTGTGTGAGGTAGCGTTCGGCGTGGCGATCTCAGCCGCAGTGCCGCTCACGCGGCGTGGACGCGCATCACCTGGAGGGCAAGGTCAACCTGCTGGCGCAGCCGCACCGCTTCCGATCTGCTAAGTAGGGGATGGGGGAGAGAGTCAGTTTCCCCGGGAGGCCTAGGAGGCCTGTCGGGTCCCGCACTCTGGCGGCGGCTCCTCCTGCGCGGGCCAGGGGTGGCGGGGCATTTGCGTAGCCGGACGATGGGGGAGTCAGGCGGCCGCGCGGCAAGTTATCAGCTGGCGGAGGTTCCTGCGGAAGCTGTCGTCCAGGAAGGCGTAGAGGAACGGGTTGAGGCAGCTGTTGGCGTAACTCAGGCTGGTGATGAAGTAGGAGATAGCGATGACGAGCGGCGTCTGCGGGAGGTCGGTGGTGAGCGCCACCACGGTGCTCAGGTGGTAGGGCGTCCAGCAGAGGAGGCACACGGCCAGGATCGCCACCACCAGGAACGTCACCCTCTTCTTGGCGCGCTGCAGGGCCTTGGCGTGGCTGTCCAGCCGCATGGCATGCAGCCGGCACAGCAGGGTGGTATAGAGGACACAGATGGTGGACACCGGGATGGCGAAGCCCAGCACGAGCGTGTAGAGGCGGCTCGCGCGCCACCAGAAGGCCTCGGGCTGCGGGAAGACCAGCACGCACTGGCGCCTGCCCTGTTCGTCGTCAAGCCGGGCGAAGACTGCGAAGGGCAGCACGACGAGTGTGACGAGCCCCCACACGGCCAGGCTCACCGCGCGCGCTGCGCTGTAGGTGCGGCCGGCCACTCGGCGCGACTCGGCAGTGGCCAACACCACCAGGTAGCGGTCGGCACTCATGACGGTGAGGAAGTAGAGGCTGGAGAAGGTGTTGTACTGGTCGATAGCCACGATGAGTTTGCACATGAGCTCCCCGAAGGGCCACTGCCGCAGCAGGAAGTCGGCGATGTTGATGGGCAGCACCAGTGTGAAGAGCTCATCGGCGATGGCCAGGTTGAGGATGAACAGGTTGGTGACGGTCTTCATGCGGGGCGCCCGCAGCAACACATACAGCACGGCGGAGTTGCCCGCCAGACCCACGGCGCAGATCACCGCGTAGACAACCGGCACAGCCACAGCCAGCGGTGCCGGCAGCGGCGCCAGAGTCGACGCGTTGGAGCAGCTCAGCGCCCAGCCCGGGCACGATGCGTTGGCCGGCCAGGGCTCCGAGAACGAGGCGTTGTCCATCTCAACGAAGGCAGAGGAGCCGGCGACTCGGCGTCCCCCACGGCCGCCCCACGGAACTCAGCGGTCCCGAAGCCCGGGTCTGCACGGACCTCCTCGCGGACGCTCGCTTCAGCTCTCCAAGCTGTTCTCTGGTTTTTCTAGAGGAGGGTGCCGTTCCCAGCCACCCCACGGCCCACTGTCGCCGCGGACTCACGGGGCTGGAAAGAGGAGTTTAAAGCATAGGTTAGTTCGTCGACGTGTAACTTTAGAAAAAGGCGCGGTCCCGAGGGGTGTGTGTGTGTGTGTGTGTGTGTGTGTGTGTGTGGAGGAGGGCGCCATCATGCCCTAAACCTCTTCCACGTGAGCGCTTCTGCTACCTGTTGAAATCTCACTTCTACCAGTTGAATACATTAAACGAAGTGCTAGAGAGAGAAGAATCCTCCCCTTTGTAGGAAAAATACAAACCCTTCTCCCCTCTTTTAGGAAACTTCAGTAGACCCAGGTCACCCCACCGAATCCCGCAGTGGCAAGTTTCGGTCTCCCTAGGGTCTGTGCGCCCTCAGTAACAGCAAGCTCAACAGCAGTCTTTACCTTACCTGGCTGGCTGGGGAAGGGGTCTGCGTTTCCTGGAGCTGTCAGGAGAGGAGCCCACCGGCTGCTGGGAGGCTGAAACGCCTGCCGGCTGGTTGTCCGCCTCCTGGTGTCTGCCTCCCTGCGTTCGCCAGAGTCCGCAGCTCACGTCCCCGCCGGTCCCTCCCGCGCGCCTGGAAGTGCAGAGATGGCGCAGCCGCGACTGCGTTCCACTGCCCCGACCGCCACGCCCATCCCCCACCCCCAGTAAAATGGTCTTGGAACTAACAGAGAACAGAAATTCCCCCAAAATTAAGGGATTCCTTTCTTCCATCCTAGTAGTGCAACCTCACTCCATCTGAAGTAATAGAAAGTTCTCCTGTTAAGAATCGAATTTAAGAAAAACAAAGTTAGGGTGTAAGTGATCTATTTTTAAAGGAGAACAATGCAGTGGGGGCTCCTGTTGCATTTTTTAAACACCGTAACACAAATGGGCTAATGTAATGTGAAATCTGTGAGTGCAATTTTATAATGCAAATCACCTGTTTTCTGCTACTCCGGTCTTCAAGGGGATAGAAGATTGCTAGTATGTTTTCTAAAACTACTTCTACTTCTACTTTTGTGTAAGTGAAGACTTGATTAGTAAAGACAAACGGCTTCCGCAAAGCCTTTTAAGGAACCATGACAATGCATATTTCATAAAATGTTGCAAGTTGTTCAACACACTCTCTACTCATCCACTCACATGCCCGATTCTCCTGCAAATGAAAGCTATCCTGCGATCACAGCGGAGAGTAGCCAAGGAAGGACTAGCAGGGGCAGTCTTGAACTCCTCTGTTGCTATTTCCCTGGACCTTGGATTCTAGCTTTAGGAAGCGGAAACCATCTTAGGTTCCTCACCAGTTCCCCTGAGAATCGAATGAAATTAATTAAATATTGGTTATTTCCAATTTCTGCTTTTTTTTTTTTTCCTCCACGTTCCCTTTAGGAGAGACAGCAAATTAAAACACGAGATTATATCGTCTAGTAAGCTTGCCTTCCACAAAAGCAGGCAAAGCCCAAATAAAGTGCATTTCTGGTCCTCTAGGATGCATCTTAGAGAAAGGGGCCTAAGATCCCGAGAAACCTAAAGTCGCCAGTGGAAGCCTGTAGGGCCAGAAATACAGTAACCCTCCCATACCTGTGGAGGATAGGTTCCAAGAGCCAGTGGATGCCTGAAACCATGGATAGTACCCATTGCCATCAGTGGGAACATGTTTCCGTTCTTCCATCCAAAAACGACGCAACAGCAAAACTAGCATGCATTTCTTTTTTCTTCTTCACATTTTCATGGATAGAAGATTTGTTTTTAGTAGATCTTGGCAACCTCTGCATATGATTTTTTTTTTCTTATTAAGTCCAGAAGTTTTACCTTTTAATTTAAAGGAGGCATTTGCAGCTTCTCTTTGGCATATCTAAATTGCCAGCATCACTTCTCTTGCACTTTGGAGCCAGAAAGAAATAAGGGCAAAAAGTCAGTAAAATGAGGGCAACTTGAACATACCGCACTGGTCGTTGCCACAGTAATCTAATAACCCAGACTGTGAAATGACTAACAGGTGAATAGTGTAGACAGCAGGGAAACGCTGGGCAAAGGGAGGACTCACCCTCTGCGGGAAGGAGTAAGATGGCTGGATCTCATCACGCTAATCAGAACTCCACACAATTGAAAACTTAGGAAGTGTGTATTCCTGGAATTTTCACTTTAATATTTTTAGACCACAGTTGACCACGAGTAACTGAAACTAAGGACTCCAAAGCCACTGACAGGGGGATCCACTGTACAAAAGCTCCCTGGAATTTACCTACTCAATTATCTTTTTACCAGGATCTATACAAATCAGCTCCCCTGCAGTTTCATGCTTTCTGTGAAAAAAATAACAGACGATTCTTAAACTATGTCCATAAGAAGCACTATATGATAAAACACCATATAAAGTTAAAGAAAATATATATATAATAGAAAATCAAACGGTTGAAGATGATCAACTATATACACACACATATACACATATGTGTATACACATATACACACGTGCATATGTTTGTGTGTATATATACACACTTGTGTATATAGTTTATACACAAGTGTGTATATATATATTTTTACACACGTGTATACACATGTGTGCATGTTTGTATACACATATACACATGTGTATATATGTTTGTGTGTATGTACACATGTATGTATATAGTTTATACACGTGTGTATACACGTGTGTGCATGCTTGTGTGTATATATACACATGTATGTATATAGTTGATCATCTTCAACCGTTTGGAGATTTTCTACCCTTTTTGTTGTTGATTTCCTGTTTAACTACACTGTAAACTGAGAACATACTCAGTATGACTTCAATTCATAGATATTTTTTGAAACTTACTCCCCAGTGTATAGTTATTTTCTAATTATTTCATATGTACTTGAAAAATTGTTCTGCATTTGTTGGGTACAAAACTCTAAATTTGTCAACTAGTCAAACTTACTATGTTGTTCAAATTTCTCTACTGATTGTTTTTTTTTTTTTTTTTTTTTTTGAGACTGGTCTTACTTTGTCCACTCAGGCTGTGAGTACAGTGGCGCAATTGCAGCTCCACTACAGCTCAACCTCCTGGCACCAAGTGAATCATCCCTCTCAGCCCCCCTAATAGCTGGGACTACAGGTGCGCACCACCACACTAGGCTAATTTTTGTATTTTTCATAGAGATAGGGGTCTCACCATGTTGCCCAGCGGGCTTGAGTTCCTGAGCTCAAGTGAACCACCCAGACTCAGTCCTCCCAAAGTGCTGGGATTACATGTGTGAGCCACGTGCCTGGCTCTCTGTTAATATTTTTTATCTAACTGTCTCATTAGTTTACTGAAGGGAGGGAAAATTCAATTAATGAGTGTGAATTTCTCTACTTATACTTTCATTATATGCTGTCAATTTGTACTACATAATTTTTTTTTTTTTTTTTTGAGATAGAGTCTCACTCACTCTGTCGCCCAGACTGAAGAGTGGTGGTGGGAGCCTGCGCCTCCCAGGTTCAAGTGATTCTCCTGCGTCAGCCTCCCCAGTAGCTGGGACTACAGGGGCACACCACCACGCTCAGCTAATTTTCTTTTCCTTTTTTTTTTTTTAATGTATTTTTTGTAGAGATAGGTTTTCACCATGTTGTCCAGACTGGTCTTGAACTTCTGACCTCAAGTGATCCACTCGCCTTGGCCTCCCAAAGTGCTGGGATTACAGGCGCGAACCACCATGACTGGCCAATTTTCACTACATAATTTGATGCTGTTTTATTAAGGGTACATGAGTTTAAGATCACTATATTTTCCTGTAGAATTTACCCTTTCATCTTGATAGTCTGATTATAATGATTTTATCATCATGTTATTTTATTTTATCAAATGATTATACATTTAACATTAAAATACAGAATATATCACATATAATTATAATATTATAGGTATATATTACCTTGTATCATTTTAACATCTTTAACTAGGTTCCTACTTCTTGCTGTATGTGGCCACTTTTGTTTGATTTCATTAACTGTTTTTCCATTAATATTATCATGGAATAGCTTTTTTTAAAAAATCTTTTTACTTTAAACTTTTCTGTGTCTTTGTATTTAATGTGGATCCCACGTAAGCATTAGAACATTTGTTTTAATCCAGTCTGACAATGTCTTTGAATTGAAGCATTGAGTTCATATCATGTTAAATGTAGTTAAAGATAGTATTAGGGTTGTTATGGTCTGAATGTTTTTGTCTCCCCAAAAATTACACATTGAAAGCTAATCCTCAATTGCTAGTATTTGGGTATGGGCCTTTGAGAGGTGACTAGGTTCTAAGAACAGAGCCCTCATTAATGGAATTAGTGCCCTCATAAAGGCGCAGAGTGCAAAAGCCTCCGAATGTGTGGAGCACCACAGAGAGTTCCTGTGAAGCCCAATGCCCAGCAGAGCTGGGGCAGATCTGCTCCCTTGACCCAGAGCAGTAGAGCAGCCAGTGTGTGATTCTAGCCCCAGGGAGCCAGGATGCAAGCCAGGCACCAAGCTGCCCTGGGAGCAGGGCTGCCCAAAGCTGTGGAGACAGGTTCACCACTCAGTATGTCTGAAAGTGGGACATGGAACCAAGGAAGATTATTTTTAAGACTTAAGATTTAATGTTGGCTGGGCACGGTGGCTCACGCCTGCAATCCCAATATTTTGGGAGGCCGAGGCGGGTAGATCACTTGAGGTCAGGAGTTGGAGACCAGCCTTGCCAACATGGTCAAACCCTTTCTCTACTGAAAAAAATACAAAAATTAGCTGGGTGTGGTGGCACACACCTGTGATCCCAGCTACTGGGGAGACTGAGGCAGGAGAATCACTTGAAACTGGGAGGCAGAGGTTGCATTGAGCGGAGATTGCACCATTGTACTCCAGCTTGGGCAACAAGAGCAAAACTCTGTCCCCACTCCCCATCCCCCAAAAAAAGACTTAATGTTTGCTCTGTTGGA